AGAAAGAAAGAAAGAAAGAAAGAAAGAAAGAAAGAAAGAAAGAAAGAAAGAAAGAAAGAAAGAAAGAAAGAAAAAATCTTCAGGCTGGGAAAACCACCAGAAAGGCACTGCTTTACTTTTTGTGACCAAACAGGACTCCAATTAATATAGAAATCTATGCTCTGTTGGAAGATCTTTAGCTCTGGGAAAATTGGCATGAGAGAGAAATTCCCCAAATATCCCATTCCCAGGCTGTGCTCTCTTTGCTACTTTTAATAATGTTCCAATCATATAAGCTAAAAAGCAGCACCTTGAATCAAGCTTGAAAACACAGCAGCAAGTTTTGTAACTGTGTTAGTAGAGATTCATGTACCAATGTATGCCCATTACCTCCTAAATTTTGTTACTGAGTGCCTGGATTTATCTTTTTCTCCTGTTTTATTTCTGATCTTTGTCAGTGAGGCTTGTATTCTTCTAGTTAAAGAGGGGGGTTAAAAAATAATAACACATACTTTCCCTCCATATTACTTAACTTTCATTCTCTCAAATAATGCTGATTCTGGAGATAACCCAACATCATTTGGAACAGAATCCAATTCTGAATTATTAACTAGTAGTGAATGGTCAGTGGTCCTCATGAATTATGGTCTGGCTGAACACATTTTGGCACCTGGATTAGAAAATCTGAATGTCACCCTCTTTTGGTCTAATTAAGTTTTGGGACACAATCCAGCAATCTCTTCCACAAGCATCAAGGAAATGAATGGGGATCAGGGCCAGCCCTAACATTTGGCTGAAGAGAGCAGCCTCACTGGCCCAGAGAGTCCTATGTGACATGAAAAAGCAGCACGTTGTGAGTCACTTAATTTATCATTGCGTCTTTTGTGGTTGCCAGGGTGGTCAGAGGTGCTTGTGGGATCTTCTGTTTCATGTATCCAAATTACTTGCCTATTGTACTGTGAGTACAAGAGTTGTAATGGGAAGCTACCATTTGTTGCTCTGCCATTGGGAGTCAGTCTCTTACTGCTTATCTCATTTGAGCCATGGCTGAAAAAACACCCCAGCTGATAACCCCATAGCTCCTTTCTGTCAGGCTGTGCCCTCTTTGCTACTTTTAATAATGTTCCAAGTATGTCTTTTCAGGCTGTTCCTGAATGGCTATGATATATTCATGCAGCAGTGATAGGTGATGGGTAGAATCAGATCTAAGTGAAGAGCAAATGACTATCGGAGATGGGGCTGGCCCTACCATTAAGCAGGATGAGGCAGCTGCCTCAGGTAGCAGATACTGTGGGGGAAGGAGCGATGTGAGATGTTTGACTGTTGAGCTGGGGTGCCAAGTAGATGGCCCTGGACCTGCAGTCATTCCATGTCTGGTCACGTCTAGTCAACTTCTCTCTTGGTGAGTTGTTGGAATAGGGGGACAGAGGTGCCATCTTGTCCTTCACTGGGCAGCAAAAGGTCTTGAAAACTCTCGAGGGAGATGAAGATCTTTTACACCTTCCTACTGACCATGAGTCATCAAGTGGAAAGCAGCCACTTCAGAATGAAGAGACCCTCTGAAGTCATCCTCCTCATCCAGCCAAGATGATCCCTAGCGGATCCAGTGGCCTCTCTGGCACATTCTATATTTTTGACTGT